CGCTTGGAGTACAGGTACGTACGTAGGTGCCAGTGTGCACCTGAGCTAGAGGCCGGGGGGTGGGGGGGTTGTTGGGGTGGCATCGCTGGGAGAGAGGGTGCTGGAGAGAGGACAAGTGACTCCAGGAGAGTGCAGAGGTTCGTGGGGAGCCGGGGGCTGGGTTGCTTACCCCACTACCGAAGTGACACTGTTTAACACAGTCCCGCAAATTCCCAGAATCAAATTTAAATACATGTAATGTAGAACTACGTTGTCAAGCTAAACAGAATTAAGGAAAAAAAATAGCCATTTGGAATTCTTAGCCCCCCCCCCTTTTGCTGACCAAGCTATCACTCGAGGGGATGAAGCTACAGGCGTGGGCTTTCCCCTCTTCCCCCCATTGGACTGTAGGTGCGCGAGAGCTGCCCAGGTGTAGCTGATCTTCTCCGGCTTGATTTCCACCTGCCTGCAGACCGCGCTTCGGGACACGCGGGCTCTGCGGCCTGCGGCTTGTGCAGGGTGATGGTGCCCGCGGGAGAATCCGCGCCACCTGGGGCGTCTCGCGCGGGGTCTCCTCCGTGACCTGCACCGACGCTTCGCGCCTGGAGCCGCTTCGGCTACCGGGGGTCGGGCTCTGCAGGCTCCCGGAATGGACTGCTCCCGCAGGCCGAGGCCATGTCCAGCGCTGCTCCAGTCCACGCCACGGTGAGTGAACTTGCGGAGCCGCGGCTGCTTCTGCTCGGGCGCGCTATTGGCCCTCAGGGCTGTAAAGACTCCCCCCTCCTCCCGACCCTCCCCACCCCATGTGTGGGCCTGTGTCCTTGCGGCTTAGCGGCTTTGTCCAACGCCATGACGGGTAGAAGCTTTAAGAGAGGTCTGTGTTTGCCGAGCGCTACTTACTTGGGGCCAGTGCATCCTCGGTGGGCCGGAGGTGAAGGTGAGGGAAGACTTTAGCTAACCGAGACACGGGCATGCGGTATAGTGGCTTATAAATTACAGTGATGTGGACACAGTTCATACAAGCCTGTGGTGTCTGCTACTTAGTAACGCACGCTGAAGACTATAGTGATTACAAGCTACCACTAATCTAGGAAAGTGACATTGTAGGCCCCTCATCCAATTCTGTAGAGGGCTGGAGTGCTTTCTGAGGCAGGGGCCTGTTGGCCAGGTACTGGTGACGTGGGAGGACAGGGCCATCTGCCCAGGACACCAGGAAGCAGGACTGACATCCCAGGTCTCACTGGGCTTAGGGAGTTGGGCTTTCCTGAGGGTGGAAGTCACCCCTTCCACTGAAGGGCAAACACTGAACGGTGAATCTCAGGCTGTGGAAAGGTGGTAGGGGAAAAGTGGGGAGACAGGGCGCGGAACCCAGACTTGTAGCTCCGCCCCTGGGTCTGCCCCCTCCAGGGCTGTGTTCCTAGGAGGGAGCTGAGGGGAGCCAGGTAAAGCAAAACTCCTTAATTGAGCATTTTGGGGGCACTCTATACATTAGGGGTTTGCTTAATCAGAAAATACCCTTGAAGGCCTGGAAAGGGAGAAATATCAGCCATCCTCTTTTAAGTGTGAGTTAGTGTCCTTGTTTGGTTTTCTAGGCACCTACCTAGCTGAGGTGGAGCGTGGGGTACAGTAACAGAGGGTATCATAGAGCCTGCGGGTACATGAGGGCACCGGACCCTCAAGAGGTGGAGGGAAAAGGTGTCAGGTCAGAGGGCTGCAGAGGGTCAGCAGAATGTGCTAAGGGAGTAAAGGGGGAGGGTAGGAAGGTAGGAGGCAGCGTGTGGGTGCTTGAATCACGTGGGTGCAGAGCACGACAGGCTGAGGCTGCAGATCGGGATTATTCTGGGAGCTTAATTGGCAAAGGACTCCACACTGAAGCCACGGTCAGGTGCCTCAGATGGCCGTCTCCTCGTGTATACATAGCAGCATTTGGACATTTCTGACCCATGAACCACCAGCCACGCTTCTTCCTTCAAATGAGAGACGTATATCATGGTATTGGCACTTTTCTTCTCGCTGTTTTATGGGCAAAGCAGCCCAGTTCTGCCCTGTGCTTTTCTTTACAACGACACATCCATTCTTACTGGGTCCCAGAGGCCCATTTTGCTTATCCACTATGATAACCACAGTTTGACTATATCGAGCGGACGTAAGGTTACCATTGATCAAAGAATGTGTTGGACATTTATTGTGTTTTTGGGTTCCACTCATTTTGGGGCATCCGAGGCTTTGGGGGCAGTGTTGAAACAGGAACCACAATCTCCTGACCTCATCCAGTTTCAAGGCCAATAAGGCTTTTTATACGTGGGGCCATATTTACAAGTCACTGTGAAGAGAGAAGTGTATATAATGCTTCACTCTTTGGAGTCTCATGGCACAAGTGGTTGTAGGTGCCCTCATCCATGTAATGGGTCCTGTGGGCCTCCTTTTGCTGCAGAACACAGGTCATAAGTTAGAAAAAATGGATAGGAAAACAGTATGCTTTATGATCTCATAAACTTTTTAATGTAATTGAAGAAAGAAGTATTAGTGCACAAAATGACACTTCAAAGGTAATAGAAGGTTCAGCCTGTTGAAGTTGCAAGTCCACACTCAAAGGCTGTCTCGCCAGAATACGCTCCCTGATCAGCTGGGCTAGCATGAGTTGAGTGTGGGGAGGATTAGAGGTACGGGCCATCGTCTGTGGACAGAGGCGGCATGAACATTTATCCTGCAAATCCAGTTCTGAATGGGCTGCCACATGGACCGCAGTCTGTGGGGTACGGAGGCCAGCTGGAGGGGTCCTCAGGTGCCCCTCAGTAAGCTCTACGGCATTCGTAGGCCTCCCAGGCCAGGCTTCCGTCTTCTTTGGTCCATGAAGAAGGGTCCTGAAGAACAGGGGTGTCCGTCCCCTGGTCAGGGGCCAGGGGAGCCGCCTTGGGTGTTAGGTCGTTAGGCATCGTCATGAAAGGGGTGAAGGCGTAGGGGGGCGGGGTGGGGTACCCCGGCGTGTGGTACAGATCTTCCAATGCATGCAATGAGTAGGACTGGGCCCCAGCTAGGGTGCCCCCCCAGCCCGAGCTCCGGAGCTGGGTGGTGCTCCCAGACTCCAGTTGGGCAAGGCAGCTCGTGCTGGGGGACAAGGTCTGCAGGGGGTCCGTGGGCACAGGGTCTGGTTGGCTGAGGCCATCAGGCACCGTCTGCTCCCATGAGTCCCGCTAAGGAGAATGGAAAGGTGGGGGGTGACGGTTAGCCACTAGGTGATACACTAATGATACAGGTTTCCTCCCCAACATGGGCACATGCTCCCCAGACGGCTTCCTGTCCCGGCTCCCTGCTGTCTAGCTCCCACTGTTAGAACCTCCACCCCTCTGTAGTGGAAACCTTACCGTTTTCTATAAGAAGGTATCTTTATGAGGTCACCTCTCGGGAGGAATTGAGAATAAGTTTCCAGAGCATAGAAATATGGTGGGGGGAGGGAGGCACGGGGCTGGGAGGGAAGGAGAAGCCTCAGGACCCTGCCTAGAGACATGCCAGTGGTACCACCAGCCCTCCAGGCCGCTTTCTTAGGTGCTGCAGCAATGATGAACAAACCCGTAGAGAACTAACAGAATGGGCAGAAACCCCTTCTTAGCAGCCCTCCCCCATAAACCACTGGCCACACCCTCTTGTCTTGGCTGACAAGGACTCTTGAGGGGAGGCTGGCTGGGCCTGTTTTCTGGGCCATCTCCCCAGAGGACTGGGGTAGGGGTGGCGGTGGGGGAGTGACTCTCCTGGGAGAGCCAGCCCAGCTTCAGCGACCAGATCCTCCCTCAAGGCCAGCTGCCCCCAGACTCACCAGCACAAAGTGTGTGGGGTCGCTGGGGAAGGGCGGCGGCAGGAGGGGCGAGGCGCTGAGCAGCGAGCCCGCGCTGGGGGTCAGCGCGGCGGGGCGGTGGTCCGCGTAGGGGTCTGGGAAGTAGGGATCCAGGAGGCCCGGGTGGCTGGGCCCCGACAGAGACTCGCAGCTGAAGTGCTTGGCCGTGCTGGTGCTGCAGGCGTCGCCAGGGAACGGTTTAGCGTTGTGGAAGTCTGAGTCAGACAGGAAGGATCTTCGGACCCCGTAGTAACCCGGCGAACCTGTTGCCGAAAGAAAAACAGACGGGCCGAAATGTCCCCCCAGGAGAGGCGAGGCCTCTTGGCTGCAGCCCAGCCGCCCCCGCGGGAAGTGTTTCTCACGACACCTGCCTGAACCAAGGCTCCCGGTGCGTGCGGGTGTCGGGCAGTGCACACGCCGCTTATGAACTGGGCGGCCGAGTAAGGCATAAAGCTCGCTGGCCTTTGGGGATGAGCTGTCTAAGAGGGTGCACTGGGCTGCCTTCACTGGCCCACTCCACGTGCTTCAGCTGGCACCTTCTGTGTACCAGGCACTGTGCTGGGGCTCAAAGTGATGAGAACAAGAATCCCTTGGCATTGACATTCTGTCCAGTGAAGCATCTTTTCTGGTCCAGCTGGGAGCTCTGTTCTCCCTCCCACCAGGGCTCACAGGGCTCACAGGAGACGTTTCTGGGTGTGTTGCTGATACACTGTCTCAAGATAAGGTGATAATCTCAGCCCCAATCAAGGCAGGCTGTACCCTTGCACTTCTCTGTATCAGGACCTGTATGATGCTGTCTGGCCCGGAGCAGGCAGTCAAAAGGGCTCACTCGCTTTGAGATGATACGGCTTCCAGGCAGCCAAGAGCATTGTCAAAATTGTGTTTTCTGGCTCTGGGGCGTGTTCTGTGGTTTGCCGCCCTCTTGTGGCCACATCAGTCCCTCACCCGGCTCACCGGGCTCTGTGTAAGTCCAGAGCACAGAGCCGGGCATAGGAAGGCCTCTGGGGAGGAAGCTGAAGTGAGATTTTCGGTAAGGTCAGGGACACTGTCCCAGCAAAGAAGAGATGTGTTTGATGAAGACTTTTGACCCCGCAGCAAGTAGCAGCAGGCAGGACAGTCTGATGTTCAACACGCTCAGGGGTAGAATACCCCGATATGTGGGGGTCCCCTCTGGCCCATATTTCTCTCCGTTATGCAGCTCTGGAATTTGTGAACATTTTTGAGAAAGCCTCTGCTTCTGAGTTGGATGGAGGAAGGATGTATGTGTGTGTACACACAGGTACATACATGCATACGTGTACGAGTGCACCCAACACTCCCCCCCCCACCAGGAGTATTTAAGGGGACACATGCACTGAAATGAAAATGGGATGTGGAACTAAGTGGCTGACAGAGAGCGGACACCCAGTACTGGCTTTCCCTCCACCCTGGCCAGCGGGTCTCTGTTCTCAAGCTGCTGCCTAATTTCTCAGATCACAGTGCCAGAATATTAGACACTTTAAAACTGTATCAAGGGCATAATTGCTATGGCTTTTGCCCAGCAAGCTGTGTCTATCCAAGCATCAGAAGACTGCCCTCAAGACAGGCTCCATTCTAAATCCAGAAGCGACTGGTTGGGGTCTGTCCCGATGAGTGTGCGTGTTGAAGACACCCCTCTTAAAGGAGCAAACTCCTGACAGTGCTGTAAGAGCACAGGAGCCTGAGAGCCCGTTCAGAGGCGAAAGGAAATGTAGCCAGTGCTGGTGGGACTCACCTGGCGTTTGGACGAACGGAGGCTGCACGGACGAGCTGACGCTGCCCTGGAAGGCAAAGAGAGCCAGTGTTTCCTTCGCTAGTTTGAGAGCTTGAAAAAAGACCGGGGCTGCATTTCATAACAGCCGTTTTCTAATTCTAAGGAACACTATTTGGGGGGTGAGGGACAACCAAGAGTACCAGGAACAAGGTCTTCCCAGGGGCAGAGACCAAAGTTATGGATTCTGATGAACATGTCAGAAGCACTGGCTAGAGGATGGAATTGTCGATGCATTTTAGTATTTGCATTAATATCCTTCATCAGATATATCAAGTGGTCTCGTGTGTCTGTGTACCTGCGCAGAGAGAAATTGTACGTATGTTTGCGTGCACACACACGCACACACACACACACGGGCTCGAGGGCTGGCTTCAGCACTGGCTTCAACAGCGGCCCCTTTCTCACTGATTTTCTTCAAGTCACACGGAAGTGCTAAGGGCCTGACTGATGTATCTTCAGTGCCCAGGCAGCGTGGTTCATGGTGGATGCAAGAGATACATGTGGAGTAAAGGATGGGCCCTCAAAGAGCCGCAGACGAGTGAACAGGGGAGTCTGGAGGGTGTGGTCCCCAGGACTCCCATCCCCCAATACATTGAAATCCTATAGTCCCTGGCAGCTGTGACGGGGGATTTTTATTGGTAACAGGAGCTTTGAAATATTAAATAATCTTGAATATTAAATAACTATTAAATAAGATGGGCCCTAAATCCACACCCGGTGTCCTTATAAGAGGAGAGACACACGCAGACACAAGCACAGGGAAGAGAAGCCGAGTGGAGGGGGTGGGCGTGGAGGAGTAAGCCCTCAATCCTTGGGAGTGCAGGGGTGGCCCGTACCCCAGAAACCAGAAGGGGCAAGGAAGGCTGTGCCTCTAGGCCCTTCTGGAGGAGCCTGGCTGCGACGTCTGGACTTTGGTCTTCTAGCTTCCGTCCGACCTGTGTGCCCAGTGTGTGACCATTTGTTGCTGAGGCCCTAGGAAGCTAATCTGGGCATAATCCGAGAGGGTGGGAGGGGTGTGTCTGGGGACAGAGGGGCGAGGGGGTACCGAAGCTGGTGCTAGGGTGGGTGGAGGCGCGTCCTGGAGGAGGCGATGCCTGGGCGGCCTCTGAAGGAAGGGTGTCCAGGTGCAGAGAGCCCTGAAATAAACAGATGCAAATAGGCTTCAAGATGTCCAGGAGCAAAGCTTAGTGGCCAGTGTTGCAGTTGTCAAAACTGACACAGCAGCGTCCAGATCTTTGGCTCTGAGCTCTCAGCCTCGATCCTCCTGGTCCTGTGTGTTGTCCAGAGTTGAAAGAGATTTCATAGAGTCTCACTCAACCACCCCACGATGCTGAAATTCTGTTGGTTATTAACAGTGGGGGCCTTTAATCCAGTGATGGAGAAAGTCCATTTCTTCCTGAGACTGTTTACAGAGCAGGTGGAAGAGAGTACTTTTCTTAATTCCGACCTCTTTGGTCCACGCAGAATAAATTTAATGCTTTTTGCAGAGAGGGCTCTCAAGTATTTGTTGGCAACCCCTCATTCGCCAACGGCCTTAGTCTTTTGGGCTGCTGTAACAAATACCACCCACTAGGTGACCTAAAACAGTGTTCCTGTGTCACGGTTCTGGAGACTGGATGTTGGAGGTCAGGTCCTCCCCCTGGTTTGCAGGTGACCGTCTTCTCACTCCTGTGTCTTCATCTGCTGGAGGGAGGCCATTCTGTGTATCTTAACTGAACCCTTCTGTGGGCTCCAGCTACAAGCCAGTTGGCTCCCAAAGACCCCACCTTTAAACACCATCACCTTGGGCATTAGGACCTTGGCATGTGAATTCTGGGGGTTCCTAAGTATTTATTCTATAGTGTGAACATGACCTTGTCCAGTGAAATATCCTCCCACCACTGAAAAGTAGCATAGTATTTACGAGGGAGGATGCCTGGAGCAGTGTCTGTGGGTGAATCCCTGTCCTACCTTCTATCAGTGGTGTGACCTTGGCACATGAAGGTGAAATGAGGCCATGGTTACCTGGCATGAGTAAGTAGTAAGTAGTTCTGGGTAGAGTCGGCTGGGGTGGTCTTTGTCCTTATTAGCAGATGTGTGTTATGTCCCTTCAAATGCATGTATATTCTTCTAAACATGCTCTGATTTATGTGCTTTCTTGCTTAGAAAGTTCACACTTTTAAGTGGCAGAAGAGAGGCTTTGAGCATGCGGGGCAGAGGTAGGTGTTGGTCGGGGAGCCAAGGGAGCAGGCGGTGTTAGGGCACGTTATTCCCGGCTGCCAGGGCCAGGATGCGCTGCGCTTCCCATTTCTACCTCTGGAAGGCAGGTGTCCTGCCTGTGCGCTCTATGTCAAGGCCTCGGCCCCGGCCTCCTTCCTGGAGTCCATAGGTGTGGCAGGGTGGACCTGTCCTGGGTGCTGTCCAGTCTGGGAGGTAGCTGCTTGCTTTTCTCCCTGCCTGGTCCCTTCACCTGCTCCCACCGGGCTTGGGCCAGAATGGAGGCTTTGATGAGACCTGAGCACTTTCCCAATCTGTTGATCTCTAAGACTCACCCCCACCGCGGGCCCCGCCCAGCACCTGTGCTCTGCCCCAGTAGGGTGAGGCTCAGTCTGGGCAGACACAGCCCCTCAGCTTTGGGCATCTCTGCTGAGAAAGCTCCCCGGAGTTCCTTCGCCCCCAATCCTCATCACTAACATCTCCTTATACTCCTGCTTCTCCTGCCAGGTTTCATGATCACAGCTTCCCTCTCCAACCCAACCCTATTTTACTACCTGAGGACTCTACAGAGATTTCACAGTTACAATCCACTTGATTTTATTTGTTGTTTGATGAAAAGAAACCTCTTGTGTTGGTTTCTCCTACATGAGTTTGCCTTCTACCTGCTCTGGAAATTACATACTCTGGTTCCATTCTTTGGGGTGACTCATGAAAACCTCTCTTGCCTATTTACCAAAGCTTACAAACAAGTATTCAGCCTCCTACTGACAGATGAAGTCCTTAGACCTCTACTGCTTAATGTTCTTTGCTTCATTTACATGAGTGTGTTACTTCCTAGCATTTTAGCTTTTTCTTGCTAGTAAAGAATGAGGCATCATAATTTGCACCGTCATTTTAAAGTTCTTTTGTATTGGGTTTACTCAGACATTATCTGTGTTGCTTGCTTACTCTGCTAGGTTTTTATTTTGGGGGAGGGTTAAATATAAATTTGTTTTCCTTCTTCTAAAGTAACCCCTTTAGTGTGGTGGGTATGGGTGCATTTTTAACATATTGGAGAATACTGTTTCTTTTACCCTTGTACTTGAAAGCTAAAACTGCTGGGCTCCCAATTGTAGTGTTACAGATTTTCTTCTTTTATTCCTTTAAAACTCTACTGTTTTGGTTTTTAATCATTGCCTTTGAGAACTTTGTATTAGCATTACTAAAGATGTGTGTGACAATCTTTGTTTTCTTTTTACTTACTGCTTTTTAATACATTCCCTTTATCTCTAAGGCTCCTTGAGTTCACCTCATTTTATATAAGGGTAAATTATAAAATAGATTTCCTGGTTGGTTTAGGATGGACATCATGTGTCTGGGGACCAGTGTCCCCCAGCTCTAGAAAATTTTCAACCACTGTGATTCTAAATATTGCCTAGTTTATAAGTCTCCTGTTGGATCTCTGTTTGGATGTATGTTAAATCTTTTGCACTTGCCCTCATTATTCCTTGGCATCTCACTAATTTCTCTATAGATATTATAGATTTCTTCAGCTCTACATGCAGTCCACTAATTCTTTCTCTAACTGTAGCTACTTTGCTGTTTAACTTACACATTAATTTTTATTATCAGTGATTACAGATTTTCTCACTTCTATAATTTCCACTTTAGGTTAAAAAAATCTGCTTGATAATTTTTGGCAGTCTCTTGTTGAGACTTCATTGTTTATTAGGTTATTGTATGGTTTATATTTGGTAGCTGAAGTACCTGGAAGTTCTGGGAATTTAAATTTATTGCTGACTGTGTATGGGGACTCTCTTCATTGCAGTTTGATTCCTAACCCACTTGGTAATCTTTGATTGACAATCATATCTGTTAACCTTAATCTGTGGACATTTGGGATCCTAAATTATGGTCGTGTTCTTCCAGAAGATATATGCTTCTAAGTCAGCTTCCTTGTAGGTTCCCAACTTAATCCTGAGGTCCCATGCCCAGACCTTAATCTTGGCACAGTTTAAGGACCAATCTTCCACACATTAAACTCAGGCGACCCCTGACCTCGGGGGAACTGGCCATTTTAGTGTGGCCATCTTCTCACTATTTGGAATCTCACTATCCGCTCACACCTTCCCCCAGTCTCCTATGCCAAACCTTCCCTCTCCCCACCCCAGCTTTGGAAATTGCTCTCACTTCCTGCCTGCTGAACAGCTCAAAAAATACATTTTATGCAGGATGCAGTACTGTGTGGGTGAGACCATCTCATCTGAAATAGAATCAACTCCCTAAACATTGAAGCTAGAAGTCAAGCGCTTCCTTTTTACATAACACCAAACATCTATTGTTCTGTGAGTTCCTAGCATTTTTCAGCAGATATTTAAATTATATTGGAAGTAATTCATCAGTACAGACTTGTAGTGATTTCATAAATGTACTGTTAGGCATATGACCAAATGTATTCTACGTCTTATCTCATTGAATTATCACAACCACCCCAGAAGATCAATAATATTATGCTCATTCTAATGATGAGGAATCTGGAGCACACAGAATATGTTCCCTGGTGAGATGAGGTACAGTTAGTGGTGGTGGTGGAAACAAACAAGAACCTTTTGGGTGTCAGAGGCTGTTTTTAAATTAACACACTGACCTGCCTTCCAAACCTGTTCACAATTCAAAGAGTAAAAATAGGAAGGCATCATATTTTATAATTTTTCTGTAAAGGAGGCTAGAGACATCCAGAGAGCTCATATGATTATATATAAAAGTGTACAAAAGGAAAAGTGTATAAAAGGAAAAACCAAGTTAGTTTTATACTTTCCTTTTTTTGTTATTTATGTATATATATATGATCTGTGTATATATGAGCTCTGTATGAGATATGTACAAATGCATAAACACACACACACACACATATTTACACACATATCCTTAACCCTCCAATGGATTCTATTTTGGGGAGGGTCCGCTTTAACTCTGGTATAATTTACACATAATAAAACTCACACATAATAAAACCCACCACTACAACATGTCCTATAAAACATTTCCATCAAATTAATTATTTCACAGCAATACTGAGTGCCGTCCCCTCTACCGTGGCCTGGGAAATATTATGATGAAGACTATAATAAGCAATGCTAATGCACCGCTTCTCTTCACCTCACAGGACGTAGATAAGTTCTAAAGTTTCTATGTTGGTACTGGGAAGGGTTTCACTAGAAGGATTTCAGGAATGGCGCTTTCTCCCCCATCCCATCCCCAGACTTCAGAGGTAGAGAAAGAATAGGCTAGATATGGTCCTTCAGCTTGGCCGCTAGCTGTCATCCTGATAGGAAGGGCCACATTTCCTTTCTTCCTCAAGATCTTATGTGCACACAGTTGCCTTTCACCATATGAATCCTCCAGAAATAATATTGAAATTGAAATTGAACATCTCATAACTTTTGACCTAGCAAGATGGTATATAATTTTTATTTTGCATACGGCAAACAACAGGATCCTGCCATGCCAGGTAGCCAAATTTAGAGGTTTGTATTTGAATGAAATTTGCCGGTCTGCAACTTCCTGTAGCTAACACAGCAGCCTCACAGCTGCCCCAAAGCCCCTCCATGGAAATAAGTTAATTTGAACTAATAGGTCACCAAGGTAGTAAAGTGATAAGATTAGGAGTTGCCCCTGGGTACATTCATACTAATTTTTATGACCCTATAATACTTTTAGGTGCCAATCTAGTTGAAGGAATATGTTGAAATGTGCTAAGGGAGAGAACTCTGACTAGCTTAAACATTTTCACATTGTTGTATCATTTATTCTTATTTCTAATTATATAGTTCAGGAAATGTCTCTTTACTTTTAAAGCTATCTCTACTAATGTTTACCTAATCATACCTTGTGACCAGCTAGAATCTCTCTTCAAGGGAGTCACAGCACTTCGTACATTTATTTTTTCATTCATTAATTTAAAACACTTTATATTTAAAAGCTTTCATCATGTCTATGGTTGGGAGGCAGGATGAGGTGATAGAATCATAGCATTCTAACAGAGTACCGTAGTAGATCCACTACATGTATACCATCTGCTTTCCTTCCAACTTTGAAATGAACGTCATGAATGTCAAGTTAACACTGGATACAACGAACTATGTTAGGCTGGAATACCTCCACTCTTTCCCACCCTCCTTCACCCCCAATATGGACATAGAAAATTAGATGCCCTTTGTTAATGTGACAAGTTTGTCATAGACCAGAGTTCTTCTGATTGGAGTGAAAGCTTATATAGAGACTAAACTCTACCACTGATGTTTGAATACATCTTAATAGTTTCGCAAAGTTTGAAACAAGTTTTGTTGTGTGGGTCATTTATCTGTCTTATGTGGTGGTTTAATCATGAATAAGAAAAGTAGAGTGGAAAGGAACTGGTGAAACACAGCTCTCGTGTGTCAGGTGCTTGACAGAATGCTGCTATTGAGAGACAGTATCATCTCAGATTCATAAAAGAGGAAACCAAGCACCAGAGAAGTGAAGGTGTCTAAGGTCACCCATCCAGTAAATCACAGACCCAGGACTTGAACCTGAAACTCTCTGACTCCCAGACCTGTGCTCCCACAATCTCCTGA